ACCACCATGCCCAGCTAATTTTTTGTATTTTTAGTAGAGACGGGGTTTCACCATGTTGACCAGGATGGTCTCGATCTCTTGACCTCGTGATCCACCCGCCTCGGCCTCCCAAAGTCCTGGGATTACAGGCTTGAGCCACCGCGCCCGGCCTATTTTTGCTTGTTTTGTAAACTTTTTAACAATAACATACTGCAGGTATTCTTCCACGTTTCTTGTGCTACATTCCTGGGATTCACTCATGTTAAGAGTATAGCTCTATTTCATTTTCACTGCGTTCAGAAGTCCAATAGAAGAATATAATTTATTTATTCATTCTGCTATTATGTTATTTATGTTATTTCCAATTTTTTGTTTTCACAAACAGTGCAGCTATGAATACTCATGCAATTGTCCCTGGCATAGATATTCAAGTTTCTCTAGGGCAGAGCTTCTCCACATATATGCCACAGCTCAAATATTTGGAGGTGTGCAGCAAGGGATATTGAATCCCTCAGCCCTGGGGACAGCCCTGTAGGAAATGAGGTCTTTGGCCTACAGGGCAGACTAGTCTCTTTGTTCGGTATCTTAAAAAAAAATACTATTTGCCATAAGAGGCATCCATCTAAAACAGGAAGTGGTGCTGCTTATGGCCTATTCCAAGTGTAGCCTATAAACTAGCAACACCTCATGTGGAAGATTGTTACAAAGTAGAATCTTAGGCTAAGCCATAAAAGACCCGGTGAATTAGAACCTACATTTAAACAAGATCCCAGGTGACACATATGCATAGTTTGATGAAGACTTCTCTTCATATAGAAGAGGGATAGCTGTGTTGTGGAGTATGGTTATTTTCAATCCACCAATGCCAAATTTTCCTAAAATACAAATGAACATACTCTCCCACCAAGAGTGTCTAAGAGTTTCCTGTTACTCCATGTCCTCACCATTCTTGGTATTGTTAGACTTTCTATTTTTTACCCATCTGATGCTAGGTATAAGAAGATATCCCATTCTAGTTTTAGTTTGCTTTTCACTGTTTATTAATGAGATTGAGTACATTTTCATTTCATCTTCTGTGCAATGCCTATTCAATTACTTTTCTTCTGGTTTTTGGTCTTTTCCTTATTAATTTCTATGTAGCACTGTGTATTCTGGGTAAATACTGTAAGTATATATATTTTTTTCCCAGTTCACAGCTTGTGTTTTGTTCTTCTTCATGTTGTCTTTCAATAAAGAAAAGTTTTAAATTAGAAATGAGTTATCATGTGTATCCCTTATGGCTAGCATTATGTGCACTGTCCTTAAAAATGCCTTCCCTACTCCAAGGTTCTAGAGATAGTCTCCTATATTTTCTCTGAGAAGTTTTAAAGTTTTGCCTTTTTGCATTTACACATTTACTTAACCTGCAATTAATTTTATACATGGGGACTTTATCCTTCAGATTAAAGCTAAAGTATTACTTCTTTAGGGAAGACTTCCCCTAGGCGTCATGACTAACAGGCTAAATGCACCTAAAGTAATGCTCCCAAGTACCGTACACCTTTGCATCATGATACTTAAACAATAGGAATTTTACATTCGTTTGTGTTTATTTGGATGTTTGCTTCTCTAAATGAACTGCAAACTTTATAAGGATAGCATTAAGTGTTTTTACTCACTATTTCATCTCCCAACACTAGAACAACTTGTGGAACACAGCTGGCTTTCAAGTATTTGTTGGAAGAATGGAGATAAGGTCTACCAACATTAAGGACTAGAGAAGAATGCCAACCAAGAAGCTGCTCTTTTCACAAAGGGAATTTGACAAAAGAAACAACACATAAAACTGGAACTATGCAAAATGCATTGCTGCACTGTTTAGTTTCTGAGTTGTGATTCCTGAGAAGAAAATTATGATTCAAGAATATATTCTGTTTTTGATAATTAAGGTAGTTCCTCAGTTAATTTTTTACTTTTACTCCTGGGGTCAAGTGATCCTTCCACCGTGGCCTCCCAAAGTGCTGGGATTATAGGCTGAGCCACAATGTCCAGCCTTTAGTTAGTTCTCAGTAACTCCTTAGTTCCCTGTTAGTTACTTAGAATTCGCTTCCTCATGCATAACACATATGAGGATTAGGTATGTAGACAGCCTCTGAAAAGAATACTCCTTTATTAATATAATCCTATAAAAGTAAGCCCTATCTTAATCAATTGTGCATAAGATTTTTTTTTTTTACATCCCATTTTCTGAGGAAAAAACTCTCAACCTTTCCACAGTGTCTGATATTTTCTTTTCTTTCCTTTTCTTTTCTTTTTTTTTTTTTTTTTTTTTTGAAATGGAGTTGACCTCGTGTTGCCCAGGCTGGAGTGCAATGGCACGATCTCGGCTAACTGCAACCTCCGCCTCCCGGGGTCAAGTGATTCTCCTGCCTCAGCCTCCCCAGTAGCTGGGATTACAGGCATGTGCCACCATACCCAACTAATTTTTTGAATTTTTAGTAGAGATGGGGTTCCCCCATGTAGGTCAGGCTGGTCTCAAACTCCTGACCTCACCTCAGGTGATCCCCCCCCCGCCTCGGCGTCCCAAAGTGTTGGAATTATAGGTGTGAGCCACCACGCTGGGTGCATGAAATTCCTTAGGAACTAGGAGAGATTAAATAAATTCTCAGTTAATAGTACCACCACCCATTCAAGTTATTCAAGCTAGAAATTTTAAATCATCTTGTATTCTTTTTCCTTCATAAACTGTATCAACAAATCCTTGAAGTTATCTCTCTCATCTGTCTTCTGTATAAATGAATCCAGCCTAAGTTTTCATCCTTCACCTAGATAACTGCAGTAATTCCTTTCTAGCTGGTTTTCCTGTTCTAGGTTCTTCCTCCTCCAGTTATCTACTACACTATTCACAGAAGAAAGTTCTGAAACACAAATCTGATAGTGCCATCGCCTTGCTTATAAATTTTTAATGGCTACTGATTACATATAGGACAAGGCATATGTCCTTCATTAATTCTTCTCACCTATCCAAATGCCACAGTCCAGGAGAAACTGAGGTTGATATTCTGGAGAAAGGATAACTGCTAAATCCAAAATCTGAAGTCAATGAACACAAAGATGGGTATCTCATCATCTGAGCTTGGAGGAGAGCATGTAGAAAAATTTACAAGTAGTGGGCACAAAGTTGAAAAAAGATGATAAGGTTCAAAAGTATCTTTAGAAAAACTGAAGGAGTAAGAATGTGAGGGAGTAAAATTACGCTATTCCCATAACTCTGCAATCACACAAGTTTCTAAAACTAAAAATAGTCTCTTGTACTTCACTACTTGTATTTTGTATGAGCACTTTATTTTTCCAATGCAGTTGTCTAATTTATTTCTTATTCATATTTCTATGTCCAAACAATCATGTCCTACAAGGTATTTGCTTTTGCTTTTCTTCAGGCACATTATCGCCCAGAGATGACAGATACAATATTAACTTATTGCTGCCTGTATCTTAGTGTCATGTGTGTAGTGGGCTTTTATTCAAGAATTATATATCACTTCTCGGCCTCTGGCTAAGACCAAGTGTGAAGAATTATATAAATGCTTATTATTTTTACTCAAGTAGCTTTTTAATTGCTTTTATATAAAATTGTGCATTACAAAACAGCATTAATCAGGCACTACTATTTTATAATATGTTATCAAGATGTGGTTTTTATTAAGAAATATTCAAAATAATTCATTTTAATCAAAATAATTTTTCTGTCAAAATTCTACATTTTGGCAACAAGACTTATCTTGCTAATTTTTAAAATTATGTGCTTTTTAAAACAAAGAGATACTGAAGACAAATGAAGAAAATGATTTTAAATTAATCTATATAGTTTTGGTACTCATCTTGCTGTCAAAAATGGGCATCTTTACATCCCCAAGTCATACCCAGGCAACTTCACCTCAAACTAAAAAAGAGCTTCTGTACTTATTATCTATTACAATTCTATACTAAATAACTTGACTATACTAGAGATTCACCTACTGTGATAGTTTAAAACGTTTTCAGTTGCCTAATGAAATGACACCTTTTAAACACTAGCCAAAAGTGCAACCTAAGTTAACAACTAATGTAGCACTCAAAACACACACACTTGGAGTGGACTTTTTTTTTTTTTTTTTTTTTTGAGACAGAGTCTCACTCTGTCCCCCAAGCTGGAGTGCAATGGCGTGGTCTCAGCTCACTGCAACCTCTGCCTCCTGGGTTCAGGTGATTCTCCTGCCTCAGCCTCTCGAGTAGCTGGGACCATAAGCATGTGCCACCATACCTGGCTCCAGCAAATTTTTGTATTTTTAGTAGAAACGGGTTTCACTATGTTGGCCAGGTTGGTCTTGAACTCCTGACCTCATGATACACCCACCTTGGCCTCCCAAAGTGCTGGGATTACAGGCCTGAGCCACTGTGCCCGGCCTGGAGTGAACTTTTTAATAAAATAATTGAAGTTTTAACATTGAATTATAATGTACTAATATGCTTTTCTAAAATAAAACAAATGAGATAATATTTAAAGGTCCCCTTCAGTCTATGTTTTGAATATGAATTCATTAACTGCCTTAAAATAGCAGTGTATTTCCATCTATCATCATATTTTTGATAGTCACTTAACTTAGGTTTATGCTTTTGCATCTCCAACTCTACAAAATGACTGAGGACTTTTAGTATATCTGACAATGAAGTTGGTATAATCAAGTATTTAAAAAGGTAACCATTCTGTCAATTATTCAAAGGCTGAATTTCACACAAAACTATGTTTAATACCTAAGATTCTCATTTTAAGGTGAAAATATAATTTGAATGTTGAAAGCAATTATGTTGCCTGCCTTTCTAGAACATTAAACTCAATATTCCCATATCCTGTACCTAGTACAAGGTACTTTTACCTAGGCTCCCCAAGACACTTCAACAAACTCACAGGTTTCCAAGGAATATTTTAAATTGTCAAGAAAAAGTGGTATGTGTCAAATACCTTATGAACTACTACTAAGTTACATGGGGCACTTGAAAAAATATTGAAATATATCAACTGAGAAAGTTTGGCAACTTTGGCAATGTGTAATTTTAAAGTAGATTTTTAAAGTAACCTCTATTTCTTTTGAAATGGTAAAGCACGTGTATCATATTTACCTGAGATATATTTGTCAACCTCTGAAATTCAAGTCAGAAGTAATTTACCAATCTAAAGGCAGGAAAAAACTCCACTTCTGAACACAAATTAAATTCTAAAATATATTCATTATGGCACTCACAATATAGTACTAAGATTAAAAGAATGAAAATATATCCCGCCTCTCTGCCTACAGGGCCCACTGGAGCAGTTATTCAAACAGAATAGTTTTGTAATTTATTCTTCCCCTTTATTTAGTATCTTTTAATTGATAGGCCTTTCCCAATTACTTGTTCTGTTCATTAGCCAAGTGACCCACATCTCAATATTAATTGGTTCCATCCAGGGTGCTATTCCTACCTTAGGACTAATACAGGAATTACTTGTATTTCATTTGTCATGAAAGTCACAAAACCCTTAAATTGAAAGGACGCTAGGATAAGTGGATCTGCAAAACGAATGCTGAAAGCAGAGAGGAAAACAGACTTTCTAGAAGAGAGAAAACCCTCGTTCTGAGCAAGACAGAAGAAACTGACCTCCAGGCCAAGATTCAATTTGGATAGCCTTCTTCATTTGTAAAACAAAAGGATTACAGTAAAATTTAGATCTGTTTCACAGCATCACTTAAGATCTAGTTAGAAATAGACTCTCAAGAGTACCCTGGAGATTCTATTCTAGCTCAGTAAATTGTAGCTGAAATCACAATCTGTGCAAGTGATTCTGGTAGACAGCCAGATTTGGGAACTGTGACAGACACTTTCAGTTGACTCACCCAAGTCAGTGCTAACTCCCTTTTTTCTTGCTTGCCTCTACTATGGATGCTAAAAAAAGGCTCAATATTCATTTTCCAGCCCTCCCTGAAGCTAGGAATGGTCTTTTAAACAGCTATGGCAAATGATCTGTAAAATGAAGTCTGTCAATGCCACTATCCAGTCCCTTCTCCTCTCCTTTCTTCCTGCTTTTAATTCTGACTTAATGTCTAAAGGTACAGAAGTATCTTGTTTCTACAACCTAGATGCTAAGAGTGGCAGAGTAGAAAGAGAAAAAAGGATACCAAAAATACCTGGATCCACTGCATCCACCTAGACTAGTGATGTGAGGAAAATACCCCCTTTTTTTGTTTAAACTACTATTAGTTGCTTGTAGCTGAAAGCATTTCTAAACGACATAGCAATGAAAGAGGAGATGATCTCAAATGTACAACTCAGATCTAATATTAAAGTTCTAATTTTAAATAATTTAATTGTCCAGAGAAGGATACCTTTCTACATCTTTGATGCATGACTACCCAGACAATGATACAAAATGTAAAGACACCATTTCGAAAGTTACCACAGTTTTGCCAATTCCCATTTTTTACATACATTTTCATTCGGTTCAAGAGGAGATTCTGTTAAATCCAAGTTCGCAAACTGAATTAAAATGAGTATATCTTATGGCAACACTACACTTATCCTATGGAAACACTGCACGTAGTCTCAGCTACTCGTGGGGCTGAGATGGGAGAATCGCTTGAGCCCAGCAGGACGAGGCTGCCGTGAGCCAAGATCATGCCCAGCCTGGGTTATGATAAAGTGAGACCATGTCTCAAAAAAATAAAAAATAAAAAAAATAATAAAAAAAAATAATAAAAAAAAGCTACACCTTACATACATTTTAAATGAACAAATTTAACAATGCCCTTGTAGTTTCAGAAGGTCAGAAAGGCTAAATACCAGGGTATTCTTCATGCATCTTCCTTTCCCTTCCCCATCTTTCAGCCTAACTTGCTAATCTGAAAATGAGAAACACTGTTTACATGCAGGAAAAATACTTTCTGCAGGAGTTGCTAACAGGGCTAACTTGAGGAAACCAGTGCACTGCGGCAAGTCATCCTTTTTTCTAAGTTCGGCTCTGGCTAAAAAAACAACTGTCCCAAGGTTGAACTAGCATAAAAGAGAAAATAGTAGCCAACATATCCTCACAATAGACCACCCTTCCATTTTGCCCTGTATCTAATTCACATTAAAGACAACAATTGCAGATATACAAAGTATGTCAGTAAATACTGACTGATCATGTCAAGGAACCAAGCTAGACAACGCAGATGGCTGGGTGGCTAATTGGGAATGGATGAGAAGAAAGGGTTCAAAGAGATGCTGCAAAAAACACAATAAATTGAGCAAACTTCCAATTTTTCTATTAGGCAATACCACCTTTAATCATCATGTAAATAATAACTTGATTGGGAATGCACTGATTATCAAACATGTTTTGGTTAACTTTTCATTTAACCTACCAGTAACTGTTGGGTTGTTGTTCACTATAGCCAGAGATCCTGTGTGGTTTCGGATGAGATTGTCTTGAGTCGATGGAAGGCCTGGAGCTGACCACGTCAGAGTATTGTATCCTGAAAGACTTTGCTGCTGGTGGTGCTGTTGTGATGGTGGAGGTGGAAGTGGTGATGGATGGCTGACAGCTGTATTTTGACCAGAGAATGAATTATCTTTAACTGGCCTAACAGTCGGAGCATTCTGTGAGGTAAACATTTGCCCATATGTATCACCAGCAGGCAGAGAGGGATATGAAACACTAGGATACGCAGTATTAGAAACAGTTGACATAGCATAATGACCACAAGTAGAGGGAAATCCCTGAGAAGCAACAGAAGTGTTGGCAGAGTACATGGCTGGACTATTGTAGTGATTCACAAAAGAGGAGTATGGTTGGGAGGCACTCGTATGCAAATGGGATGCTGATGATGCAGCACCTTGAAAAGATCCTGGAGTGGATCCCACAATATGAGGGGCAGGAGGACCCCTGCTGTACATCTGCTGTGCTCCTGGCTGTTGGTTCGCTGTGCTAGGAGTCACATTTTGTGTGGGTACTGTATAGAGAGCAGAGTAGTAATCACCACACTGGGTATCCAATGGTAATGAGATCATTTTCCCAGGTCCTTGAGAGTAATGTCCTGAGGGAGCAACATAGTTTTGATGATGCAATCCATATCCAGATGGAACCTGCATTTGATTCTGGGCTGGACCTGAAAAAGAAAAGCAAATATTTACAGGGACTGGTAAAGAGATAACTAATTTTTAAACATAGTCCCCATTCAAATGTTGACCCAATTAACTTTCTTTTCCATAATCCCAACTTATCACAAAAGACATACACTGTTATAGACCCATTATGGTAGCCAGCATCCAACATGTCCCCAATGATCCCTACCTCCCGTCATTCATACCCTTGTGTAGTTCTCCCTCCCAGTGTACCAGGACTGGTTTGTATGAACAATAGCATACGGCAGAGGTGATGACATGTCTCTCAGATCACTCAGTCTGAAAGAAGCAAGCTCCAAGCTGTGAACAGCCCTATAAAGAAGCCCATGCAGTGACGAACTTAACTCTGGCCAATAGCCAAAGAGAAACTAAGATCTGCCAACAACCACGACTGAGCTTTCAGGCAGATCCTTCAAACTCAGTAGAGCCTTGAGATTCAACTATAGACTAGCTAACAGCGTATCTCATGAGAGACCCTCAACCAGAACCAACTAGCTAGGCTGCTCCTTTATGTTCCTGAGAAACTGTGAAATAAATTGTTGTTTTAAGTTGTTAAGTTTTGGGGTATTTTGTTATACAGCTATCAAACTAACATACGCAGCCTGGAAGAAGTTTAAACTTTTTTTTTGAGACAGGGTTTCACTCTGAAACCCAGGCTAGAGTGCAGTGGCACGATCACGGTTCACTACAGCCTTGTTGTCCTAGGCTCAAGCAATCTTTTCACCTCAGCCTCCCAAGTAACTGGGATTACAGGCATGCACCATGGTGACCAACTAATTTTTACTTACTTATTTTCTACAGATACGGGCTTTCACTGTGTTGCCCAGGCTGGTCTCCCATACACCATTGCCCAGCTAACGTTTTATTTTTTATAGACGCAGGGTCTCACTGTGTGCCCTGGCTGGTCTTAAACTCCTGGACTCAAGTGATCCTCCTCCTTCAACCTCTCAAAATGCTGGGATTATAGGCTTGAGCCCCTGTACACAGTCAAAACCTTTTTAGGTTTTTTTTTTCCTAACTATAAAAGTAACAATATAACCACTGTAGAAAAAAATTCAAACAATGAAGAATATAAAGTAAAAATCTCTGCCTAGTAGCTTATATCCTATTTCTGAGATATAGTTACAGTTAATAGTTATGTATCCTTTGTATACATATGCGTGCCACCAGGCTGGCTAATTTCTGTATTTTTAGTAGAGAGGGGGTTTCACCAGGTTGTTTAGGCTGGTCTCAAACTCCTGACCTTGTGATCAGCACACCTCGGCCTCCCAAAGTGCTGGGATTACAGGCGTGAGCCATCATGCCCAGTGGCAAATATCTCCTAAAAAGGTAACTAATTTATACCTCCCATCAATAATGCTTTAGATCACCTCATTGTCCCAACACTGAGTCTATTTCATTCTTTTACAATCTGAAAAGTGAGAAACATTTTAGTTTACAGTAGTTAACTTTCAATGATGCTGAGACTCTCATTTGGGTCTTTCTCTGCTGTTTGCTTTTCTTCTACAGCATTGTGATTTCCTTAGTAATTTTTAACTGTTCTCACAGAGTAGAAAATTAGCCTAATGTTATGTGCTGTAAGTATTATCCCCAGGTTAATGTTATGTTTTGACTTTGTTCGTGGTATCTTTTGCTATGGTTTCTTGATCATTACATTGTAAAATTCTTTTTTATGCTTGACAGATTTTTAAATCATACTTAGTAGAGGTTTCTCCATTTCAAGATTATAAAACCAAACAACCATGTTTTATTCTAATGTTTTATACTTTCATTTTTATATATTTATATATTTGATAATAATGGCATGTATTTATTTTATACCAACAAAACATTAATCCTAATATTAATCTTAATGTTATTAAATAACTACATTATATGCCACTCACTGTTCTAAATGCTTAACATATATTAACTTCTTTAATCCCCTAAAGCCAATAGTATTATACCCATTTATCAGTAAGTTAAATGAAGCACAAAAGTTAATACGTTTAACACAGTTACATGCTTAGGAACTAACTGGGCTGGAATCTGGCTCAAGTTCATGCTCTTAACCAATTATCTGTTGCCACTCACTACAAATGGCTAATTGTCCCAACAATGACATTCTAGTCTTAGTTTTGTTTACTTTTCTATGGGTTTTGGGCAAATCTTAATTACCTTGGAATCTAGTTTTTCTGCCTTGTGGAAGGAAACAGGTACCGGTGCCATTATTATCTCAAATGAAAGGATAATGTAACAGAAAACTAACAAGCCGTTTTAACTCCACTGACACAAATACACAAAGGAAGTGCACTATACTCTTTGACATAATAATGTATTAAAATATTTGTTTATAAAAGAGGTAAGAATGAAGTATACATTTTCTAATTGTTTTAATTTTTACTAAATAATGCAATGGAATCTTCATTTCTCATCATGTAATTATATTCCATAGCCATCATAAAGATAACTTACACAGTCAAGCTGCAAGGGAAAAATATCATCTACGCTCCTCCTATAATTCCAAGAAGTATACAGAGAACCAAAATACTGATAACACTATTTTACCAGGTGTACAGTTTACTTTTCTTACAGATTATTTTACATGGTCATAATCCATCTGAATTTATTTACTTAAGGAAATGAAGTCTATTAGAAATCTTTCATGAACATGGCAAAAGTAAAATGTTGTCCTCCTTTCTCCTATTTATACGCATTAAAAGATGGATGTGCTACCTTTCACTATAGTGTCAGAAAACTCTCCACTAGTAGAATTTATCAATGAAGAGCCAAGTTAGATTTAGAGAAATCTGTTTAAATAACTACACACTTAATTATTGATTTGGCATATCCATGCTACATGATCTGAAAAGAAAGAAATAATCATTATGTACCAACCATTCAAATAACATTCTTTTAAAAATAACAAGAATGTTCTATCTGCTGAAATTTATCAAAAGTTACTCACCAGAATAAGTCTATTTACTTTCTAGCCTATCAAAGAAAGATACTTATTCTGGGAAAACATGGGGGCGGGAATATCTAACATAACTAAGTATATGTGGATGCTTACCATTCCTTACTTTACATCAAGATCTAAATGTTACAAATGCATAAAAAAAGTATCTGAAAGTAATTAAAATTAATAGAGATAAATGTATATCATTTTTAACATGTATTCAGTATTTTAAAATTACTGAGATATTTTGCTTTTATTTTTTGTACAATTTTATTTATTTATTTATTTATTTTTTAAAGACGGGGTTTCACCATGTTGGTCAGGCTGATCATGAATTCCCGACCTCAGGTGATCTGCCCGCCTTGGCCTCCAACCGCCTGTCTTGGCCTCCAAAGTGCTTGGATTACAGGCATGAGCCACCACACCCGGCCTTTTTGTACTATTTCTTTAAAAATCATTGTGTATTTTACACTTAGAGTACTTCTCAATCTGATCAACCATATGTCAAGTACTAAATCAATAGCCAGGTAGAGCTAGTGACCACCACACTGGACAGTGAAAGTCTACAGCATATATGTCTATGATTCCAGTTGTTTCTGCCTCTCATGACAGATTAAATTTTCAGCCCTCAGTAGTTTCTCCCCTTATTCTTTTCTAGTGTATCTGCTTCAATTTCTTTCCATATTTTATTTAAGCTCTATGGCTTCCAAATATTGTATTCCAAGAAAGAACTATTTTTCTAAGAGTAGAGCAACACAGTAATTATGCACATATATACCCATATTATGTTTAACTTATCTGAAGACAAAACTCCTGTAATCATTCACCTGTGATTTTTCTGGGAATTCAAAATCATTCTGTAGCATGTATGAAAAGACTGCTGTTATTTTAATACTTCTAAAATAGAGATAAACATTGTAGAGGAGAAAAGAAATTTGTTACGCATATAGTCAAACTTCTGAAAAATAACTTTCTTATCACAAATGTGACAGTCATTGTTAAAAAAAAAAAAAGAGAGAAAGTGATCAAATAAAAATCATCTGTAATCTTCCTGAGATAACCTCTGTTAACATTCCGATGTATATCCACCCAGAATTTTTTTTCATGTGTATGTATAATTTAGTCAAGCAAAAGTTGGATTATAATGTACCTTTTTAAATGATTTCTTCATTTAGCACAATTTGAATATCTTCCCATAATTTTTAATGTTTGAATAATATTCCATTACATAAATGTACCATATTTTAATCAATTTTCTATTTGCCATTTAGGTTTTCAATTTTCTAACATAAACCATATGATAATTAATAGATCTGCAGATAAATTTTTGTGCTCATTCACTTTACTAAAAATAACTTCCTATCAGTTGCAATTGTTGGGTCAAGTCCCTAGATGGCAGCTTAACTGTGCAGAAATGGGAGATGTCAAGATGCCCAGCAAAAAGGGAGGTAGTGAACAGAATTAAAATGGGCCCAGAAGCTAAATTTGGCAAAGACTTCAAAGTCTTTATGAATATATTCCAAAAACGAAAAGAAAATATATTCTAAAAATTGGGGGGAAATGTTTCCGGTTGAATGAACAGAGGAGGGATATTACGACAAATGAAAAGTATTTAAAAAATCAAAATATTCGGCCGGGTATGGTGGCTCATGCTTGTAATCCCAGCACTTTGGGAGGCCGAGGCGGGTGGATCATGAGGTCAGGAGATCGAGGCCATCCTGGCCAAAATGGTGAAACCCTGTCTCTAAACTTTAAAAAAAAAAAAAAAAAAATTAAAATATTCAAAATAAATAAATACGCTAAATGGTCTCTACAGCATGGCAGAAAACTCAATGATCCTTGATGGAGTTGATCAACTTTGAAGACTGCTCAAGAAAATGATCCAATCTACGAAACATAGAGAAAAAAAAGACTGAAGAAAAATGAACAAAATTCATTTTCCCAGAGACCTGTGGGACAACACAAAGCAGTCTAATACTTGTATAATCAGTAAGCATGTGGTGGGCTAAAGAGTGGTTCCCCAAAAGATATGTACACATCCTAATT